TAGACCCTTTTTTAGTGTGAAACAAGCAAAATGTGTGTAAGTTAATTCCAGGCAGGGAAGAGGGAGAGTTAGTTCAATTTAAATAGTGGAGGAAGGAGAGAAGGGGGTTACAGAATTTTGTGGGGAAATCCCACGATCTTTTCTCTTTTTATCCCATTTTCCATGAAGGTTTTGGAGACCCCTCCTACGAAAGTGGATGATCTCCTCTCAGTGACTTCTAAGCTGGCATCACTGCCCTTATCATTCGGGGTAGAAGAAAGTACAGACTCGGTGTTGTGCAACAGTGGGGCCCCACTCCTCGGCCACACGGCCAACAGCTGCCTCCTTTCCCCTCTTCCATGACCCGGTCAAGAAGTCTGAATCTAACCCTTCTAGTCTCCTGGTTGCTTCTTTGAAGGCAGCTAACAGATGAGCTTCACACACTGTCAAGTCGACCTCAGGCTGTACCCTTGTCTCCTCTCCAACACAACAGCCAATGGAAAACAAGCAGGGCTGCCCTCTCTCTGCAGACGGAGGGCAAATTCTAAAGCCTGTATTATGGAGCTGAGGGAGACCAATGCCCTCTTCGCAACTAGCTTTGACACTCCACACATCCATCACACGTGTCAAGCGAACCGTTTCTAGACACGTTTCCTACTTTTTCTGGAGCCTGAATGAAGACGAATCTGTCATTGACAGTATTCCAGCTGCTTCAGCATTGGAATGTCTGAGGGCGTGGAATAAGAAGAAATGTTCCTTTTCCTCCATGACTGAAAGAAGACAGCCAACAGCAAGGAGGCAGCCATTACTCAGGGAATTTTTATTTTAGTGCCCGCCTTACAACAGGCTGATAAATATGGACATATGTATACCAGGTCCTGTCGAAATGTTCAAAGCAACAGAACGGTCAAAGACAAAGCAGTCTCATGCAAACAGAAGGAAGTAGTTCTGAGACTACCATCAGACATTCCTAGTAAAATGCCTCAATCAGGACCAAGGCCAACTTATGACATTCAAGGAAAATCCATAAGGAAAATAATAATGTTGATGAACACTTATCCACACCCAAATTAGCTATGTTTATAACATCTTAGAAATCGAAGAACCAGCATGTACTCAAGCACTTGAGTAGGGGAATTTTAAGTCCTCGACTGTCTAAAAAAGAATATCATGACTCCTCTTGTTAACAACTGTTAAGAAGACAGGGGGCTCTGCGAGCATAATAGGTTACATGCTATTATTATTATTAGCGCTGTTAACCACAAGGTTGGCTGTTTAAACTCAGCAGCTACTCTACTAGAGAAAAAGGACGCTGTCGACCCTTGTAAAGGGAAGGGGGTGCAGAATAAGGGGGAACCAATCACAGTAATGGACGTATGGCCCCCTCCCAGAGGGACAAACAACAGAAAAGTAGGAGAAGGGAGACAGCGGTCAGTAGAAGGCATAAAAAAAAAAAGATAAATTATTAAGGGTTCATGTGAGAGGGAGAACAAAAGATGAGGAGCTGATACTAAGGGCTCAAGTAGAAAGAAAATATTTTGAAAAAGACGATGGCAACATATGTACATCTGTGGTTGACACAATGGATACATGTATGGATTGTGATAAGAGCTGTAACAGCCCCCATTTTAAAAAAAAAAAAAACTATTTGAAAAGCCTTGGAAACCTAAAGGCGCAATTCTATAGCACCGTCACAATTTGGAGTCGACTCGATAGCATTGAGTTTGGTTTGGTTTTTCCCTAAGAAGACAATGATCGACTGCAGTGACTAATCGCACAGTGCAGTGATCTCTCTATCTGTTGGGCTAAACAACTTTTTTTTTTAAATCATTTTATTAGGGACTCACACAGCTCTTATCACAATACATACATGCATCCATTGTGTCAGCATATTTGTGCATTGGTTGCCATCATCATTTTCAAATAATTTCCTTTCTACTTGTGCCCTTGGGGGCCAAACAACTTTTACAACATCCTCTGGTGTAGGTTCTTGAGCACTCTCAGGTCTAAAGATAAGCTCCATGCGTTCAGTTATGTTCAAAAACACCCAGGACTTCAATTTCATCCAAATGAGATTTTTTTCCCTGGATCACTGCTCTCTCAAACATCTGCAACTTTCTTTATCCTTTAAAATATGGCCCCCAAACCTGAACCTGTCTCATTCACCCACCTGCCCTCCTTACCTGGCTTGACCATTAATAGCTGATGAGCTAGTTTGAGAGTATAATCAACACAAGAGACAAGAAAAGCTTCCTACACTTCGTACATGATTTTTCTACCAATATATTCTAGGGCTGTGCTTCTTTCATCAATTCTCAACCCCGGGCTGTTTGTGTCCATCTGGGGGCTGGCTGCTGTTTCGGTAGCTGCCCTGGAGTGGGCTCTGGGCTTGTGGCAACCCCATGCTGGTGGAATGAACTGCTTCCTGGTCCTATGCCTTCCTCATAGCTGGCGATGGACTAAACCATTGTATTCCATTGGGTCTCACTGGCTCATTTTCAAAATTAGATTGCCAGCTCTTTCTTCGGGTGCATCTTCATCTGGAAATTCCACTAAACCTGTTCTGCTGAGGTCTAAACATGCAAGCCTCCATCGACAGAGAGGCGGTGACCACACAAGGTACCTTAGCAGGGACTCAAACCCAAATCTCACTCAAAGTCACTGCCATTGAGTTGCTTTCCACTCACAGTGACTCTACAGAACAAACAGAATTGCCCTCTTTGAGTTCAGGGACTTAGAAACCTTCGCTGGAACAGACAGCTTCCTCTTTCTCCCTTAGAGTGACTGGTGGGTTTGAACCATTCACCTTGGGGTTAGCAATTCAATGTGTAGCCCACTACACCACCAGGACTACTTGCATTTCCTGAACAGAAGGTGAGAATGCTACGGGAACTAGACTCCTCGGTCATTTATTTCCTGTACTTGAACTTCTGCCGATTGTTTTGTGTGCATTTGTGGAATACATGTAAAGTCCAAATAACTTAGGATTTTCCCCCACATATCTCAAACCAATATTGAATACAGCATTATATATATATATACACACACACACACACACACACACACACACACACAGTTCCTGCAGCTCTTAAGGGTTGGTAAAACAAGACTACAGCACCTGCCTATAATTTTTTTTAAAGACTTGAAATGTTTTAAGGATTTAAACTTCTTGGGAAATTCTCCAGGACCTATCCTAAGCAACAAGTGTTTATAAGCACCATTTATGAACCCATCACGCTTGCACTTGATGACATGCTACAGAGAAGCAAAGGGAACTATTGACTTTGAATTCTTTGCTCAGAGAAGATAAGCCAGGATCTGTGGTTTGGCAACACCTTCGCTTACGCAACTGCCAGGGCCCCATCAATACCACAGCTCCCAGCACCACCTCCACACCCACTGCTGTCGAGTCCCTCCCAGGACCCAGCATTCCCACAGCACCGAGAACCACCACCCAGGGCCTCGGAGACTGTGCGCCTTTACAGGAGCAGAAAGCATTGTCTTTCTCACGCGCAGGAGCTCGGGTTTTGGGAACTGCCAGCCTTACAGTTGGCAACCCACTGCCTGACCCCCAGTGCTGAGATCGCCAACACGATTGAATGCTTGGTTTTGTTCCACGCTTCAGTGACTTCGGCCACCCTCTCTTGTGTGGGCACCTGACATGCTGCTGTTAGCTCTGCCCCCAGCAGTCAAGCTGTCTGATGAAATTAGAGTAAACAAGGTTTGGCTAACACCAGCATGGTTCTGTCCTTCAGCTGAGATTCTTTCTGATGCAGCTTCACGGTAGCAGGGGGCATTCACAGACAAGCTAGTCTGTTGCCTTAGACACAGAGTTTCTGAAAGGGGACAAACTGAAGCATGTTCCCACACTCTCTACCACGATGGTCCCCTGCTTCAAGAAGCCCGTTCGACAAGCCTACAGCTTAAACAAAGGCATCTGGGTGATGCAGTGTGGTAAGCCTTGACCTGATAACTGCAAGGGTGGTGGTTCAAACCCACCAGCTGCTCCCAGGGAGAAAGAAGAGGCTGTCTGCTCCCAGTTAGATTTATAGCTTTGAAGTATCAGCCTATGGTAAAGGGGAAGTGTAATAAGTCTAGAAGAGGAAGGAGAAAGAGAGAGGAAAAAAAAAGGGGTAGGGGTAGAGTACGCTATTGGGAAGTATGATAAATTGTTTATATCACTGAATATAAAATGATGACGTGAAAGGTAAGCCCTCACCTGATTCACAATAAAAAGATCTCTAATCTTGGAAAGCTGGGCAATCAGTCCTATTCTGTCGATATGACAGTCCTACAGGGTCGATATGAGTGAGATAGGAAATAAGAATTCTCAGTCTTCCTGCAGTGATGAGAGCTTCACCACCAGCTAGATGATGACCGGAGCCCTGGTGGCAGAGCGGTTATGCACAGGGCTGCTAAGGGCAAGGCCAGCAGTGGGAAACCACTAGTTGCTCCCTGGGAGAAAAACAGGGGTTGCTATAAAGAGTTACAATCTTGGAACCCGCAGGGGCAGTTCTACGCTATCCTGTAGGACTGCTATGAGTCCACATCAACTCAATGGCAGTGATTTGGGGTTGTGGTTTTTTTGTTGTCTATGTTTTCTTTGGTGAGGGGTAGGGGAGTCTCATCTGAGGCTGAGGTGTGCGCAGGTGGTCATACACAGTCATCACTCCACTTACCAGGGACTCGCTGGCACACTGGAACACATAACAAATATAGTGGCTCAGCCCAGGCTCTGGAGACTCCCGGCAGATAAATCCAAAGTGATCCACATGCTTTATGCCCTAGAGGAGGGAAAGAATCGCAACGTTTATAAGAATATGTCCCATGAATCAACAAGAGACTGTCAGCATCGGGTCCACAAATGTCTCCTTCACCGAGCTGTGATAGGAGGCACAGCGTAACAGCAAACCCACTTGGTGACGTTTGAATACACAGCAAAGACGGAGACAACTCAGAGAGGTTTGTTCCCGACGACAAATACGCTGAAGGGTTCGGGGCCACAGGAAACCCACACCGACAGCATGCTCTGCTGTATCTGGGATACAACCTCTCCCAGTCTCTGGAAACAGCTCTCGCCTTCTCAGGCTTCTGAGAAAGCTGGAGGTTCACCCTACGCCTTGGTTTTGTCCCTGGGAGGCTAAGAATGAAAGAGAAAGCAGCAATGATGCTGGCTCAAATGCAATAGCATGTAACTCTCCGAGAGCACACAGGAAAATAGCAGAGACAAATTGATAGAATCCACAGCACTAGACAAATTGATAGAAACGCCAAGGAGACACGCCTGTTAGAAGATCAATACATTAAGAAACTTCGTAGGCACGAAGTTTCCACTGCAGCTTTGGAAAGATTAGGGGGTTCTACTCTGTCCTGCAGGGGTGCTAGGAGCCAGAATCAACTTGACGGCAGCTTGGTTGTTTTCAAACTTGGTTTCATTTTTCTTGGTTGTTTTTGCACGCTTGATGCGCATTGCTAGTTTTCTTTCTCTCTTCCTGGGAGGCTTGGGAGGCGTGACCTCTGGGCACACTCTGGGGGCAGAAACTAATTACACCTCATCTGTATACCAGGGGATCGCTGGTAGAGTCATGGGCTGCTAACCTCAAGGTCAGCCATTCAAAGCTACCCGATGCTGCGAAGATCAAAGATGCGGCATTCCCCTCTGATCAAGAGTTGTCGTTTCCGAACCTACAAGGGAAGTTCTGCCCTCTCCTGGGGCTACTCTAAGTCGGAATCAACTGCATGGCAGGGAGTTGGGATGTGTTTGCTTTGTTGCTGAGTTTGTACACCACTCTGTCCAGTACTTAGCACAAAGCTCCACACAAAGAAGCTGCTAATTTATGCCAAGCTCTGTCCTAACCAACTTATACTGATGCCTCATAAAACACCCCACCCTACTGCCCTCTTGCAGCTTACAGTCTTGCAGTGAGCAACAGTCTCTCTAAGAATGTGTCACCAAGGCCGGCCCCACCCAGAGCCAACCCGACCCCCGCCCAAGAAGTATGTGCCACAGAGAACACCAGACCTTCAGATGGAGAAAGGAACCGACCTACCATGCCCACAAGGCAAGAAGGACAAAGAGAAAGGGGCAGTCGGCCTAGACTCCATATAGGCACACCAAGCCCGGAGGATGAGGTCCCTACATGGAGCTGCTGGGGCACAGAGAGGACTGTAGGACTGACAACAACTCAAGACATGTTGCCCCCTACCTGGAGCATACTGCGACAGAGGACAATAATGGGGACATACAACGGGAAGACATTGTGGCCTGAATCCCGTGCAGTGGGACAAAGCAAGAAGGGAGCATAACAGATCAGCAATTGGAGCAAAGTTAATCCACAAAGCCCCTAAAGAGTCCCCAAAATAGACTTTGGGCTAGGAGGGGCAGCCCCTAGAACTCCCTCAGGACCAGGGGGCAGAGAATCATAAAGGCCAGCGGACAGACCTGAACTGTGTATGGTTTTGTTTTTTCCTCTCCTTTTCTTTATTCAAGCTTTCATTTTCTTATTGTTTGGACTAGGAAATTGCTGGTTTGCCTTCTTAGAAGACAGACATGGGAAGTAAGCTCGGGGAGAAAGCAATGGGGCCAATGGCCCCGGAGGGTCTTGGAGGAAGAAGGTGGTGGGGGGAAGGGTGTGGTGAGCAAACACTGCCATAGATAAGGGAAACCAGGGAATTAAAAGCAACATCTAGGAGGTTGTAGAGATCCTGTGGGTATTAAAGCAACGCCAATCTAGCTGAAAGGAAGTACTAAGAGGTAGAAGAAGGAGGAACGTGATGGTGGGGCCGAAGGAGACAAAAGGAAACAGAAGAAAGTTCTAGGAAGCAAAGCTATATAGACAGAGGTACTAAAAGAGGTATATACTTATGTAAATACATTAATCCAAAAAATAGAAGTACTGACTATGAAGAGTTACAATCTTGGAACCCGCAGGGGCAGTTCTACGCTATCCTGTGGGATTGCTATGAGTCCACATCAACTCAATGGCAGTGATTTGGGGTTGTGGGAGTTTTTTTTGTTTGTTTTTTGGGGGTTTTTTTTGGTAAGGGGTAGGGGAGTTTCATCTGAGGTTGACATGTGCGCAGGTGGTCATACACCTATGTACATATATTTATAAAGCAATACATTGAGGCTGCTGTCGGGCCTTGGGCCTCAGCTCATACCCTCCTGCAATACAAGAACACTTTGTTCAAACAAACTGGCATTTTGTGATGCTCACCCACCCCACCCACCCCTCCCCGGCACTATCACTGAAGACAAAACATGGTAGATATGCAAATGTGGTGAAGACAGCAGATGGTGCCCGGCTACTAACAGATATAGTGTCTGGGGTTTTAAAGGCTTGAAGTTCAATAAGCAGCCATCCAACAGTGAAGCAACTAGCCCCCGTGGAGGAAGCGCACCAGCCAGTGCAATCATGAGGTGTCATTGGGACCAGGTAACAGGCATCAGAAGATTCATAACAAACAGCAAACAAACAAAAATGCATTAGTGAGAATGAGGGGGGTCAGAGCGGAAACGCAAAGCCCAGCTGTAGACAAAGGAACATCCCCCGACAGAGGGGTCGCAGGAAAGGGACGAGTCAATCAGGGTGCAGTAGAGCACCGAAGGATCACACAATATACCTCTGATCCCTTGAGGCCTCCTCACCCCCCACTATCATGACCCAGTGCTGTTTCCCACTCTGGACTGGACGGGAGCATGTACATAGGTACAGGCAAGAGATAAAGCTCACAACGCGCACGGAACCCAGGAACAGGAATGGGCACAGTGAGACCAAAAGGGTAGGGGAGAGGTGGGGACGAAGGAGTTACCGATCGCAATGAATTGGCACATAACCACATACAACCTCCATGGTGAAGAACAACAGAAACCAGAGGGGAAGGGAGGCAGCGGTTGGTGTGAGATATGAAAATAATAACAATCTATTGGTGGGGGGGGCGAAGGGGAGGGGGAGAAGAGGAGCTGATCCCAGGGGCTCAATAGAAAATAAAAAAGAACGATGGCAATATATGTACAAATATGCTTGATATAATTGATGTATGGGTTATAACAAGAGCTGTCAGAATCCCCAATAAAAATGATCTTTAAAAAAAGGTGTCATCAATATTTGCTCCAATTAAGTGAATACATTTTTTACTGACTGTCTTGGTCAGTAAAAAGTTGGACAGGAAGAAGTTTACTGTCTGTGAGAGTTAAGGTTTATTGTGCCAACCTGGCCGATAAACACATGTGGGATTAATTGAAGGGCAGAGAGTTAAATGGCTCGTAACCTTCGCCTTTCCACTTCTCTTGTCTCTTGCTCTCTGATGGTCGGACCAGTGTGCAGCTGCCTTAGCTAGTTCTCTGCCTCAGCTGGCAAGGCTCACTTCCT